ACCTTTCACAAAGGTATTAGCACGTATATAGTAAATGCAATGAATTGGACTGAAATTCGAACTTGACTCTCCGATGCCACAATCCGAGCCGTTATCCATTACACCACCGTGCCTCCTTCGGTATACTTCGAAAAAATTGTTCACATGTTTTCATAAAGACTAACAATGAAAGATTATTCAATTATTTAAGAAAACCCGCCTCAGCGCCTCTCGTTTACGCTAGCCATTCCATCAACAATCGGATCCATCAGCGAGTTCTTTGTATTCTGGGATCTCTAATGGATCTCTCATTTGACGAAGTAATAGATGTTGTACCACAGGTGATTAAAATGAGAACAATTAAGATGCCATCCGTCATGTGTAATATAATTGATGATAATTCCTGTCCAGCTACTCCTGAGTTACTTGGCCGATGTGGACGGAAACTCCAGTCCGGAGCACGAGAGCCACGCTCTCGAATGAGGGTTTGATCACGATTTACGTCAACTTTGCTCACGGCGCACAGAATCATCGTAGACGACCTCTATTTCATATCGGTATTTCAGTGACGTCTGCTGATCGCCACATGTCACTCTTCATGATCACCTGGTCACTTTCAAGGAGTTTGTTATCTTCATTATCACAAGGCAACTAGAGCTCTGATCACAGCCTATCTTCTCATTTCCTGTGTCAAACTTTAACCCGCTATCTTAATGTTCTGGATAATTCTGAAAGAGGAAAGAGAATGTTAAAATTTGACGCATGCCACGTCATATTGAGGTAGGTTATATTCCAGTTATGACCAGCAGTCTTCCTGAATTTTGTCCTTTGTCCTAACTAAAATCTTCTAATTCTATTCCACTCTCTGTAGCCCCTTGCATTCTATTGTTATTATCGCCTTGCTTTGGGGTGAATGATTAAAAATAAATAAATAATTAATAAATCTGTGTTCTCATATATATGGCGCACTCTCTATACATGATAATAAGATGTTACTGGACAGTTTATGATGTGAATTTGAACAGTAGTTCAAAGAAAATGTGCGTGTTGCTAACTTTCACTGGTACCCAACCTAAAAATTCAGTCAACTAATAGGCTTAATTCTATCAATTCAGTTAATGTGTGGTGTTTTTTGAAGGTATGTCGCAGTGGCTTTGCGATATTTACGATGGTTTACAAATGCGAACAATATGCTTGCATCTGAATGTGAATGAAGCTTGGAAAATCTGCTATTGAGATTCTGTATGTTTTTGTAGAACATCCTTTAGGTTGAGAATAGTGCATGCGTTTCAAGGCCGGTTGAGTGTCGGTTTCAGATGATGAGCGTTCAAGTTTCAAGCAAAGAGTTACACATGTGAGAAAAATCTTAAAATATCGTGGGCATAGTTACGGTTTACATTAGTTTTTGTTTGTTTGTTTGTTTTTTTTACTTTTCATTAAACGGCATCTGTGTCTGCTTTTTTGACCCTCTTGTAAACCGGACATAAGTCTATCTTTTGGACATTCACGTAAACCGTAACTATGTCTAAAGTTTTGATTTTAGTGTCATCTGACTAGCGTGTAAACCGAATCTATGTTAAATTTTTACAATAATGTTCACCTTTTACAAGGCCCGACGGATGCTCGATGTAGAGGGTTACATTAGGAGACAATTTGTTTTGATAGGAGTGGAAGATAACAGTTAACCCTAGCCGTTGAACAGGTTAAGATTGTAGCAATCGGGGAAACACTCACTTTGGAGTCGGTTCCACAGAGCAGTGCTTCGTGGGAATAAGGTGTGCGAGTGGAACTTACTTCTTACTCATGGAATACGGGGGGAATGTGGGTGGTTTGCTACAATGTAGGTGTCACGGCGGGTCCTAGCCGTGAAGTTCAGAACTGGCGGAATCTAATAATGTAGTTTTTGTCCGAGGACTTTCCATGAAATTAACGATAGAGCTGTGACAAACTGACAATCTAGCCTATAGGGGAGAGGCTTGAGAGTGGGAAAATTCGACACTCACAAGGACTCGGAAACGTGTTTGGACTCATGGCTGGCGAGTGAGGTCTGGAAAAGTCCCGTCCATATATGGCAGCAGTACTCAACTTTCGGCCTGATCTGGCTTTTTTCAAGTTAGAGGATAGCAGTACGATTCATATACTTACTGGAGCGCTATAAGTTAAAGGAATATTTTGGTGTGAGTGAATCAGTGATTGTTAATATCTGCACTAAATAATATCGCAGCTTTGAACACCTTTTCTCTGCCTCATTTTAGAGTTTTTCTCTTTATTACATTAGTCAGTGTTCTCGTCTCGACCGGATGATCGGTTGAACTCTCTGCCTTCGGGCAGTGAGGAACCCGAACGAGGCTACGCCGAAGGGCGGATTCTCTTTCAGGGAGGTAAACCGACCCTGTACCCGTTTATACGGGTTCAATGGGCATATTTTTGGCCGAGCCTGGAGATCCCACGTTAAACCGACCTTGTGCCACATGACGCCCTCGTGAGGTGAGGGGTGACTGAATATCCTCAGTGTTCTCAACCGTGTACTATATTATACTTTGGAATAAACTACTTCTTACGTTATATATGTGCGTCAACCTTTCCTATTTACTACAAAACA